AGAGAGAGAGAGAGTAGAATACAGATAATTGGATGATTGCAAGGCCTCAAAAGTGAATTTCTCATGCAAATTTCCTTAGGTAGCTACAGGAATATGTGCTTCACTAAAATGAAGGTGAAACCAAGAACAAAGAAGCTAAGAGGACAGAGAACACAGTGAACATGAACTTCTACACAGGAGGGACGAGGAACCCGTAAGGGGATGGAGACAGTGGACACCGAAGGGAAAGAAGCGATTTCAAAATGTCACCTGTGTACCTGGCAAGGTTGGTAGGGCCGGAAGCTTAAACAAGTAGGGGAGGGTCTTTAAAAGAACAAAAATGCAAAATTACAAATACAAAAATAGATATGAAAATGAATATACACAAGAGGAACTCAAAACATTATAAAATTATAGTACCTGACAAATACCATAAGCATCACAAATCCAGAAAACTGTATTCTCAATAAAATTAATAATAATAATAAAAAAAAAAGGGCCAGGGAGATGGTTCAGTGGAATAAGTGCTTCCCTGGCAAGCACAAGGGCCTGAGTTCAATCCCTGGTTCCGCAAAAAAAAGAAAAAGAAAAAGAAAAAGAAAAAGAAAAAGAAAAAGAAAACTGTAGTGAGAAATCACCGACAAAAGACTCAACACAGCTATATGCATTTGGAAACAAAACCACGCTACATATGCAAAAAAACCAAATCACAATAATATTAGAAAATACTTACAAATGAATGATAACAAAAATGCTATGAACCAAGATTTGCGGAAAGCTGTTAGAGCAGTACAAAATGGGACAGGTACCGGATGTTAAATCTGTGAGTTTCAGTCCTCACACCAGCAGAATCACCAGGGAATTTGAGAGAAATGCAAATTTCAGGAACTGCTCAAAACTGACTCAGAAATCCCAATTTCTGGGGCTGAAAAATCTGTGTTTTGTCAACATGTTATGTATGTTCAAATTTGAAAACTAGTATCGTAGATGTACATATTGAAAAACAGAAAGATTATTACCTGAAGTATCCAACTCAAGGAACTAGAAAAAAAAATTTAAGTCAATTGAAAGTATAATGCTAAGATCAGAAATTTTCTTTGTTTATGTTAATGGCTTAAATTCCGTGTCAGGATCTCAAAAGACATTGTCTTTGCTTCCATGTTTGACAAGTCCAGTTTTCCTCCAGGCTGATTTGACCAGTGAGAGGATCAGCACAAGAGAGTTGGTCAAGAAAGGAATGCACAGGACCAAGTTCAACATTGGATAGATTTGTGCAGATAGGCACGTGTATCTGCACAGAGAGCATAAAGTGAACAGAGCCATGAAGTGCTAAAATGACTTTGGGATTGGAGAGGGACGTGGGAAGAAGAGAAATGGAAAAGCATTCAGTTCTCTCTTTTAAAAATATTCTTGTTGGCTTTGAGTTTCCAATATTATACATAGGCTATTTATTTTTAAAGTGAAGAGAATTGGACCGTGCTATTACAAGTTATTCTTATTTCCTCTTTTGAAAACTTGGGTAGTACCACTGTTCTTTTAAATCAATGAATAAGTAACATAGACACGTCCCAAGCATGGTCTGAGTGAGAAGTTGTTTTTTCTATATGTAATTCACAACTTATCTCTGGTAATAAATTAGCATACCTAATAAAATGTGTAAGTTTGTCCAAAAAACTCTAAATAAATTGAAAACTTGTGCTAAGAAGTTCAGTCACCCAATTGTCAAACTGTCTGATTACCTTAAACCAATTTTTTTGCATATAGTGAAACAATGACTATTTCTATTCAATGTCCTTATCAAGAGTTAACTCTTAACAGAAGAGTAAATCTTTATTAAACTGGCTTGTTTAATAAAACCAGTTTTTTCTTTTACAGGACATTCTGTAATATAGTCTAACCAGTGGCCATAACTAAATGACTTACTAAATTTAAAATATTTATTTATTTAATGTATTTAGTACAGGGTCTACAGGGTCTCTACACATAAGGGACTCATAGTGATCTTCCTGTTTTCAGCCTCCCAAGTGCTGGGATTATAGGTGTGCCCAGTCTCAATCCCTGTTTTAGTGTGCCCCAGAGGCAGGGCTGGCACGGAATGCCGGGGGCTGAACCCCAGTACTTGCGTCTGCCTAAGCAGGCCCTGTAATCTGCCGAGCTATCTGGCCAACCCTATTTATTTATTTATTTATTTATTTATTTATTTATTTATTTATTTATTTTTTTAAATTTTATTTATTTATTTTGTGTGTGTGTGTGGCCAGCTCAGCCCACCAGGGGGCGGGGCTGGCTGGCATGTGGTGCTGGGGATTGAACCGCGGTCCCCGTGCTTTGCCCAGCTTAGCTTGTTCCAAGTAGGTGCCCTAGACCACTGAGCCATCTCACCAGCCCCCCCTATTTATTTATTTTTGAGACAAGGTCTCATTATGTAGTCCAGGCTGGCCTCAAACTCACAGCAGTTTTCCTGCCTCAGCCTCCAGAGTGCTGGGATTACAGGTATGCACCATCATGCTCGGCTAAAAGCATGTTTTAAAACGTTAACAAATGTGGGTAATATTCACTTCAGTTACTAGTGTGAGTACGAGGGTGTGATGCATGACAGGGCATTAGAACGACAGGAATAGAATGGACAGGCATTGAGGGTCTACCCCACACCAGACTTCAAGAAGTACTTCAGCATGTACCGTGCGCCGGGCACCGTTTTTTCGATCTGCAGATATAAAAATGAATAAGCGGTATGGGGAAATGAAACTACAATTCTCATACTGATCTTGCTCTGCCTCTCTCCGCGACGCGGGTTTCCTTCCTCCAGTGCCTGGCCACGACTCTAGGTGTGTGGAAAAGCCCCGCCCCATTTCCCTCCCTTTCCGGACTCCGACTAAGGGGTGGACTACAATTCCCATCATGCCAAGCGAGCCCCTGAGGGCGTCCCGCCTTTGCGCGCCTTGACGACTACAGTACCCAGAATACTTTGCTTCCCCCATGGGTGTTTTTACTCCTTTCACGGTGCGGGACGCGGTAGTGGCTAGCGGACTGCCAGGCCCGGGGCTCTCTGTGTCCTTTCCTGGGTCAGGGACTAGGCAGTGACTTGGCTCCTGGGCGCTGTGCCCGGGAGCGAGCGCGGGCGGGCGGCCGCCGTCACTCCGGCGAGTTCTTGTCCCCTTCGCTTCTCTCCCGCTCCGAGCGCAGCGCTTGGACGGCCCGGGACCGACGGCCCGGTGCTCGGGTGACCATCTCGGCTGCCGGGGCGGAGACCAGGCTGCAACGCCCGGAGTGCGGGAGCTCTGGGGACGAGGACGAGGAGCAGCAGGGAAGATGGCGTCGGAGCTGGATCCTGAGGTGCAGGCCCTCGACCGTACTTTGCTGGAATGTTCGGCCGAGGAGACAGCGGGGGTGAGTGGCGGGGCAGGGCGGGCCGCGCCCGGAGAGAACTGGCTCCTGGAGACTCAGGGAATGCCGGCGCTGGCGGGGCTGACGGCCGGATCCGCGGGAAGGCCACCGATGCAGGGGCCCCTGGAGCTGCGCTGTGCCCCGGCCACCTTCCCATCTGCCTGGCGACCCCGCAGCGCTTTGCACCCTTCCTCCTTCCCGGCACACTCCTTGAAGTCCCCGCCATATGGGCCTTTGCCCTTTATACCTGCGCTTGGAAGAGGGGAGGGAAAGAGACGCCTCCTAGTGTTTTCAGAGTAGCCGCCCCACTTTACCTTCCTGCTTCCTTTTTCTGGAGTGAGCGGAGCCGTCAGTGCCTAGTCCACTGAGGCACGCTGCCCTACCCACGTCCCGACTTTGTTCCTGGGACTACCCGAAGGATGCAGGAAAGGTGGTAACAACGCTGTCCCCTCATTTAGTGCTTTTTTTTTTTTTTTGCACGGATTGAGTTAGTGCGCTGTTGATGCATATGTATGGAAAGTACACTGTGAGTGAGCACGAGAAAGTAGAAGTGGAGGCTGGAAAATCAAACAGTTTTTCTAGTAGTTGTGTAAAGTTGAATGGAGGATGAACACTTTGGTTAACAGATACAAGCTTAGTGAGAGTTGGTCGCAGCTAGATAGGCCCCACTCTTAAACCATTCAAACTCTGTGATGTAAATAGGCTAGTGTAAGTTGTAGAATTGTAAAATGATTATTTACATAAATTCAGTGGCATCTTTCTCCCAGTAAGGACGGGGAACACTCCACGGTGAGTAGGAGTGGACCAAAACAACTCGGACCCTGCCTCTAGAGCCTCCACTTCAAGCTAGGAGGAACCATTAAACAAGTCAGCAGTGTGAATATTCCCAATAAAATGTGGGTGGGCGGCTCTGTGGAGCTGTTGATCAGGGAGTAGTTTTGAGTGCATTTGTGAAGGTCAAGTAAAAATGAATGGCAGGAGTAGAGGTGAAAAGTTTAAAGAAATAGTGTTGAGTGATGAGCTATCTTTTTTTTTTTTAAAGACTAACTTGTTCGATCTTTTTTCATTTATTTTCAACTTAATTATTGCACAACCCAAGGTTTTTCAGCCCCATCTGCCCTTGTTTATCAGAGAGAAGAAAATGAAAGTCATGCTACAAGTAAACAGGAAAATAATAACAGCTATTCACTATCCGCGTGCCTACAATAACAGATGTCCGATCTATTTATCTTAACTTTGTTTCTAACTGAATTTTGTGTGTGTTGGCCCAGTGATACAGGCTGCATCTTCTGTGTTAGTCCTTCTCTGAAAGTCAAGTTAGTCAGTGGGTAGAGCTTCTCTACTTTGTTGAGGTTCCTGAGGAAACCAACTATAAAAGCAGTGCTGAAAGCCAAGGATTTTTTT